AGCTGAGTGGACTTGCCGATGACTGGTACCAGCGGTGTCAAGATCGGCCCCAGTGGAGGAGGCTCGTGAAGGACGCTACTGGGCAGTTGGAGGCAGTCGCCCTCCAACAACAACGGAGGGCGGAGGAGCGACGCTCACAACAACGAGCGGAGCGCCGGGTGGCTAAAGCACAGCAAGTCGGCACAGTAGGGGGCACAGGTGGTGCATCAGCCAGTCATCTCGGTCATCTCGGTCAGTCGACCCGTGGCACCTGGGTCTGCCCCGTGACCTCCTGCCAGCGGGCTTTCGACACTTCACGTGGCCTCAAGGTGCACTTGGCCTGGCACAAGCATCGTGGTGACGTCACCACCACTTAGTGGCGAATGGCGGTTGTTGTTGTTGTTGTTGTATGTATGTGTGTGTATGTACGTGTGTGTGTGTATGTATGTGTGTGTGTATGTGCGTGTATGTATGTGTGTGTGTATGTGTGTGTATGTATGTGTGTGTGTATGTGTGTGTGCGTGTGTGTGTGTGTATGTGTGTGTACGTGTGTGTACGTGTGTGTGCGTGCGTGCGTGTGTGTGCGTGTGTGCGTGTGTGTGTATGTGTGTATGTGTGTGTGACGTGTGTGTTTGTGTATGTGTGTGTGTGCGTGTATGTGTGTGTGTGTACATGTGTGTATGTGTGTGTGAGTGACGTGTGTGTGTACATGTGTGTGTGTGTACATGTGTGTGTGTGTGCTCGCTAACAGCACTTGCCCCTACAGTCTGTTCAGGCTATACGGGGGATCTTTGTCTTTGTTGTGTGTACATGTATGTGTGTGTGTGTATGTGTGTGTATGTATGTGTATGTGTGTGTATGTGTATACATGTACACGTGTATGTGTGAGTGACGTACGCTCGTCTCTCCGCCCTTGCAGGTCACGACGTCGTCCAGCAGCTTGAGGCTGCGCTGCACGAGCTGCTCAAAGAGGCCGGGCTGCACACACACACACAGTGACACACGCACATACACACATATACACATGTACATACATACACACATACACATACACACATATACATAGTGACACACACATACACACACACACAGTGACACACACGTACATGTACACACACATACACACACACACAGTGACACATACATACACATACACACACATACACATGTACACACACACACATACACACACAGTGACACACACATACACACACATACACATACACATGTACACACATACACACACACACATACAGTGACACACACACACACAGTGACACACACACACACACATATATACACACATACAGTGACACACACACATGTACACACATACACATAGTGACACACAGTTACACACACACATACACACATACACACATGTACACACGTACACACATACACACATACACACATGTACACACACACATACACATACAGTGACACACACATACACACACACATACACATACACACAGTGACACACACATACACACAGTGACACACACATACACACAGTGACACACACATACACACAGTGACACACACACACAGTGACACACACACACACAGTGACACACACACACAGTGACACACACGCACGCACAGTGACACACACACACAGTGACACACACACACACACAGTGACACACACATACACATATACACAGTGACACACACATACACGTACACACGCACACACACATACATACACACAGTGACACACACATACACACATGTACACACACATGTACACACACACACACACACAGTGACACACACGCACACACAGTGACACACACACACACACAGTGACACACACATACACACAGTGACACACACATACACACAGTGACACACACATACACACAGTGACACACACATACACATATACACAGTGACACACACATACACGTACACACGCACACACACATACATACACACAGTGACACACACACATATACACAGTGACACACACATACACACAGTGACACACACATACACACAGTGACACACACATACAAAAGACAAAGATCCCCCGTATAGCCTGAACAGACTGTAGGGGCAAGTGCTGTTAGCGAGCACCTATGAAGGCCGGAACGGTACACAAGGGGGTGGGTGGCCAGCACCACGCCCGACCGCCTTTGTCTCCCTAGTGGCGATGTTTACACACCGCACCAGGTACTCATTTAAGGCTGAGTCGACCTAGGGGAGGCCCAGGACCGGTTCAGATAATCGTCACTGGTGTTAGCCGTGAGCGGGAATCGAACCCGGGTCGCCAGGTTCATAGCGCAGCGCGCTAACCGCTACACTACCGCTCCCCACACACACATACATACACACACACAGTGACACACACACACATACAGTGACACACACACACACAGTGACACACACACACGTACACCCATACACACACACACATACACACACACATACACACAGTGACACACACACACATACACACATACACACATACATACACACACACATACGCACATACACACACATGTACACACACATGTACACACACATGTACACACAGTGACACACATACACATACACACATACACACATACACAGTGACACACACATACGCATATACACAGTGACACACACACAGTGACACACACATACACACACACATACACACACAACAACAACAACAACCGCCATTCGCCACTAAGTGGCGGTGACGTCACCACGATGCTTGTGCCAGGCCAAGTGCACCTTGAGGCCACGTGAAGTGTCGAAAGCCCGCTGGCAGGAGGTCACGGGGCAGACCCAGGTGCCACTGGTCGACTGACCGAGATGACCGAGATGACTGGCTGATGCACCACCTGTGCCCCCTACTGTGCCAACTTGCTGTGCTTTAGCCACCCGGCGCTCCGCTCGTTGTTGTGAGCGTCGCTCCTCCGCCCTCCGTTGTTGTTGGAGGGCGACTGCCTCCAACTGCCCAGTAGCGTCCTTCACGAGCCTCCTCCACTGAGGCCGATCTTGACACCGCTGGTACCAGTCATCGGCAAGTCCACTCAGCTCCACGTCCTCCTGTACCACATCACTCCATCTCTTCTCCAGCCCGTGCCGCGCCCGTCTAGCCCCCTCGATCCGGCCGAACAAAAGCTGTTTAGGCATGCGGTGGCTGGGCATGCGGGCTACATGACCCAGCCAACGCAGCCTTGCCTGCCGGAGGAGCTCACTGATGGGACTTTGCCCAGATCTTTCAAGGATTTGTGAGCTCCTCACACAATCCAGCCTGGTTAAACCCAGGATGGATCGTAGGCAGGCCAGCCTAAATGTTTCCAACCGGCGAAGATGCTCCACCAGGGGGGTCCACGTCTCGCAAGCGTAGAGAAGGGAGGGAATGACCGTGGCCGAGAAGACCTGAAGCTTCGTGCGGAGCGACAGACCAGGTAGCTTCCACACAGCGTTACGCAACCGATGAAAAGATATTGCCGCTCGACTGATTCGGAGTGAGACCTCTGCTGATAGACTGGAGCCGGTCATAAGCATACTGCCCAGGTATGGGAAACTCTCCACTCTCTCCACAACTGCCCCATCACCAATTGGGAGTTGTGGGGGTGGAGTGTCCGATGGTACAAAATACCCAGGCAGGTGCTTGGTTTTGGTGGGGCTGATGGTAAGGCCCCACCTCTTAGTGGCACGCTCCAGTCTCAGCAACAGCGCCTCCAACTCCTCTTCTGAATGAGCAGCTATTACCAAATCATCGGCATACATAACGTGGTTGACCAATAGGGAGCCATCCCTTGATCGCACCCGGGCGTCGATCAGCCTCCCATTATATCTGTACCAAACGGAAATTCCCCCGGTACAGCTATTGAAGGCTTCACGAACTACGCGGTCAAAATAGATGTTAAATAATGTGGGAGCCAGAGGACATCCCTGTCGCACCCCAAGGTGTACAGGGAAAGGCTCCGACTCCCGGCCACGTAGTTTTACCCGGGCCCGCTCACCATCATGAAGGTCCTTAATGATCGTGAGCAGAGGGTCAGGGACTCCGAAAGCACGAAGAACAACCCAGAGTCCAGTCCTACTGATGGTATCATAGGCCTTGACCAGGTCAATAAAGCAGAGATGTAGGTCTTTTTGGAATTCCCTACACCTCTGCTGTAGCAGACGGACAGAAAATATGGCATCTGTGCAGGACCGCCCTTTCCTGAAACCGCATTGGGGCTCCGCAAGCCCCTCCTCAGCGTGCCTAGCAAGGCGATGTTGAATAATCCTTGCCAGGACCTTACCCGGCACACTGAGGAGTGAGATGCCCCTGTAGTTGTTACAGTCTGTGCGGTCCCCCTTCTTAAAGAGGGGGACCACCAGGGCATCCTTCCAGTCCTGCGGAACCCGTCCAGTGGTCCAGACTGTTGTTATGATGTCATATAGGGCAGTCTGTGCACAAACGCCACCCTCCCTCAGCATTTCGCTTGGGAGATCATCTCTGCCCGGTGCCTTCCCTGGTCTCAGACTCCGGATCGCCCTCAGTACTTCCTCAACAGATGGCATCTCAGCCAGCCACTCACAGGGGGTGACTAATTCTTCCAATAGTTGAGGCACCGCAGCCTCAGCAGGGTCATCCCCACTTTGCCCCACGATGTTTTCCAGGCTGAGGGATTTCCCCTCCCCCAAGACCTCACAGAAATGCTCAGCAAATCTGCAAACCTGTTCCTGGGGGTCAGAGATTGGATCGCCGTTCTTTCCCCTAATGACGGTGATAGGTGTGGCGCTGCAAGTTACTTTTTTGATGGAATTAAAGATTCCATCTCCTCAGCCAGCCTTAACACCTGCTCTGGTGTTCAGAGACACACACAGTACACAGATTATCAGAAGTTAGAGAGTTCAAATCCTGGTTGGAGAAGTTGACTCAGCCCATCACACCTCCGGGGTCATTAAAATAGGCACCGCTTCGTGAGAAAGTCATAGAAACGCGAGATTCCCACCACTGTTAATGGTATCGGAGCACCAATGGCTCAACGCTCATTTGATTGGTGGCATTGCGGTTAGCG